ACTTAGTACATGTTTGATTGCTTTTTAGGATACGTCTATTTTGGAATTGTAGCCCCACCTGGAGAAAATTCCACCAGCTGCCACTGGTCCTCTGGACAGGATTTCGGTTTCTGGCTGGGTGAGTTCTCTGCAGATAAATTCTTCACCCACTTCTCTGTCTCCCTGGCATTTCCTTGTGCTCCTGTGTGTTGTTCCACCTTCTGTGAGGCCCTATTTTGCATTTGACTAACCTGTTTGTCCAGGTTGAGGCAGGGCTTATAAGGCTGAGTTTCAACTGAAACTCATCAGACTGATGAAGTCTCTTGGAGGAGAGACGAAATGTTTCACTAAAGAAGAACCCATCCAGAGGACCTATTTATTTTTTCTTTTTGATTTTTTTCTACCTGGATTACTGAGACGCATCAGGAAATTTCCTACCATATGTTTTTCGGCACAAATTTTTTCTGCATTTTTTTGTGCTACTTTTACAATTTAGATATCAAAATATGTAGCTGCTTCAGGATTCCTGCTGTGACTTTTGGTACTTCAGCAACAATCCTTTTTGAGATATTTAGCTTTTTTGGCTGTTTTTTAATTTAAAATTAATGGAGCAGTCTTCAACATCTTTAAAACCCTTTTAAATGTTTCTAAATCGTTACTGTACTTTTTTATCTTTTTATTTTGGCTTATTTTGCTAATTTCAGCTTCCTTTAATTATTTTGTTGATTTTAGCTTTTTTAGCAGTGCAAATTCTCTAGTTTGTTGATTAGTTTAATTTCCTTTAGTAGTTTTGGGCGGTGTTTTAGTGTAGAAGTGTTATCACAAAAGGTCAAAAAAGCACAAAGTGTCTGGCCTTGTTTGATGTAAATAGACAGAGCAGGCCTTGGAGAAGCATTTAAAAGATTTGAGATGCCATTCATGAGCAGCATTTCACCAGCCAGATCAAGTTTCCCCCACTGTGGTTGTGCTCCACTTCTCTGTGTGTTGGTACATGTCCGTAAAATCAGTGCAGTAGGAGCAGTTAGTCTCAGCACTTAAGGAAGAACTGGTGAGTAAGACGATACTGTCAACATCTTTAGCTTCACTGTGTTTGCAGGAGCAAAGATGTGGTTGCTGTGGGGGGTCAGCAGATCGTGCGTTTGTGTGTCAGAGGTTATTAGGGGCACAGCTGCCTTCCATTTCCACCCCTCGCTACATCGCCTCTGCAACAGGTGGAAAATACTCTCACATACACGCTACAAGCAAGGATATGCTTCGCTGCATCGCCAGCATCGGTCTAACATGGTGATGTTAGAACAGTGCATTCACAAACACTGTCTGCCATTACAGAGCCTAATTCTTTTTATTTTCAGTGTAAAATAAGTCAATGTAGATTTATTTCATGGGGTAATGGCACTTGCTGCTTCATTGTCTCAGCCCTGAACTAAAGGCTGTGTCTAAAAGCTGCTGGCCACAGTGGAGGTCAGGGGATTTTCTCATCTCTGTCTGTGGTTAAGTAAGCCATTAATCTGTGAATTCTTGTGAACAATTAGCTCTTTGACCTCATTTGCCATTCTGACAAAGGATGTTAACAGTACTGTGCAAAAGTCTAGAGCCACGCAAATTTATACAGTACTTTGCTCTTAAGAAGTAGACATGGGCCAGCGACCAGTTTTGAGTGACCAATTTTTGAAAATTGCAAACTATTTTTATCTGCTCAACTTGCAAAACTGTATTCTGGGCTACTCACATTTGGTTGGCCACCCCCACCTCAGCTCGCATTGTACCCACCTTGCCAGCTGCCTCCACGTTTATAACGTATGCTGGTGTTCACTTTAGAAATGAATTTAGGCAAATTTKGACCTGCTTGGCAGTTGGTATAAATAGGCTAAGCCCTCTTTAACATTTACAACAAGGATTTAAAAAAAACAATGTTTAAATAAATTGAAGTCTAGATCAGCATCAGTCACAAGAAAATCTATTTTTTTAATGTGCTCATGTTTTAGAGCCCAGTCAGAGTCAAAGAGGATTTCATTCTTGTTTATGGGGTTAAGGGATTGATAACCAACCAAAATCTGACTTGAAAAATCATTCAATCATTTTGAGGCAGCTAAGTTTACACAACAGACAACTTCGTAAAGTAACTATTTGAAATTGCATCATTAGACTCTTGGTAACCAGAGGCTTGTCATATAAACTTATATTTTAATCAACTTTTTTAGTTAAGAACAGAGGGGAAAACAGTCGCAGGACTAAAAGTTTGTGTACAACAAAGTCTAAGTTGTGTTTTTAGGTTAAAAACAAAAAAAAGAACTTTCTTCTAACAGTGGCCAGGTTTAAGGATCGGAAATGACTTAAGTCAGACAATATGATAAAAAAACATTCACAACAAGACCTTGACAGAAACAAAAGATATTTGATTAGACTTAATATTGAACATGATATAGAAACCAGGAAAAATACGCTGGCTTTCTCTATTTAAGGTGAAGCCCCACAAAGTTGTGTTTCAGTTTGTGGACTCAGTTTTCATGGATTTGTTCATCTAACCGAACTACTAGTAGTTTAACTCCCCCATAATATCTCAAAAATCGGAAATACGGTACAGTAAGGAGCATCAATAATTTTTTCTCTCATGCTTTTTTAGTTTTGAAGCTAAATTATCAATAGCAATATAATTTCTAAATTTTGTAACACAAACAAATGTAAATTCAGTTCCATTAAAAAAACAGTACATGATGCATGCGTACAATTTACTGTACAGCACCATGTGGCATGTAGCTGCTAACTGTTTAGCTCTTGTGTGTTTTTGTTTGGTTCTTACAGCATTAGGATGCCAACCAAACCTGCTCTAGCCCTTTTCTGAACCGCTGCCAATATTAACATTTTTCTTTCACGATTCATGTGTTCTCTAAGTACAACAGAGTAATAGGGCCACACAACAAGCTTTTTCTTTAGTTTTTAATTTACGAGAATAAAGAAGTAATATTACAACATTAAAGTCATATGAAAATAGTGATATGAGAATAAAGTTGTGCCAATATATGATTAAAGTCATAATATTATGAGAATAGAGTCGTAATATTACGAGATTAAAGTCATAATACTATGAGAAAAAGTCATAATATTCTAAAATTAAAGTCGTAATACTATAAACTTTACATGAAAAAGCAATTACCACTACATTACAATGAGGAATGTTAAGCAACTTGTCAAGTTGTTCTTTAGTATTGCATAAAATAAATAGTTAATGTTTTAGCATATTCGCATCAAATTATCAGTAGCAGGATTTTCATATTGTGCAAATGATAATTCACTTACTCCTTTGGCTAAACTTGCTGTATGCAGAGGTTTTTTCATAAACACCATAGTGTGTCACAGTGTTGATATAGTATGATGTTTTTGCTTTTTTCCTCACCTTCCCTTCTCTTGTGTGATTTTCAGTTTTCTTTGTCTCTAAGTTGACGCCTCGGCAGGCTGCCTCTTACTGCAACTCCAC